GTTTGTATTTTATTATTATATTTTACACAATTATACTTCAATAAAATAAACTTCAACTTGAGGAAAAAAAAAAAAAAGTAAAGTACATGTTTTACAAAAGGATAGAACTCTACAACAAATAAATTTTTTGAGAAAATCTATCTACTACATTAAAATTAAAGACCTATTCTATCAACTAATAGAGTTATTTTTTAAAAGGTGGGACAGAAAATGACTTCTATACTTTTAAATTTTGCACAAAATTTAGGAGGTATTTAGACCAAGCCAACTATATTATGGATTAAAGATGCGACCAAAGACGATTTATTTTTAAGGCAACGTCATATATAATATTTGGATAGAACATTCAGACGCGCTAGTTAACTTAGTGTAACTTGAAGAATATATTAAATAACTCAAATAAAATGTTTATTAAATTAATAAAAAAATTAATGTATTGTTATGATTATAAGAATCATTCCATAAATATAATTTCAATGACTCTTTTTTTTTTTTTGGTTAGATTTTCCCAAAAGATTTGCATGTCCAAAGGGTTAAAGAATATGTACATTATTGTATAATTATTTATGCTGTTACTGTTTTTGCGTCTAATAAAGTCTCTCAAATTCGATGTAAGAAATATATATATATTGGCATAAGTAATTATACTAGATTGCAATGTTGGAAATGATGATGAATGGAATTTATGATGATGATTTTGGAGGTTGCACCATAAGTGAAGATGCATGCGTGATTTATGAACCTTAATTACAAATAGTTTAAAATATCTTTTTTATTGATAAACCATTTAAAATATTCGTAAACTGACCAACAAATAGCAGTTGATGGCATATGAGACAACACACGCGGTCTTAATCCTCTGAAAAACCCTTTTAGTTCATTTCGTTCATAAATAATTTTAAATGCTCCAAATAATCCATTGCAATTTCTTATTTTTAAATCATTTGTGTTGCCTCGTGTTTGTAATAGAGTTTTTGCGACATCTAAAGGTGTTGTTGCAGCAGCTGCAATTGCCCCTGCCAATCCACCAGCTATAACATGAGTCTTTGGATCATATTGACCACTGGGATTTAACACTTTACGAAAATATTCATATGAACTAAATTGAAAGACTTGAAATGGTATTGTCATTGAAAGTGTTGTTGGGTATGATACATAAAATGCTATTAATCCCTCTCTTGAATAAACTGCCTTGGCACAATCAACTACATTACGGTATACTGATCCATGAACTTGCATTCTTTGTTTAATAACTATAAAGAAAAATATGTTAAAAATATTATCATTTTTAAAAATATATATAGTATATAATAATATATTTATTTACCATCAAATGGATTCATCAATGCATCACTTGCTATTGTTGCACATGCACCTGCTGCACCTTGATTTTAAAATAAGAATAAGTATACATATATATTAATACACAAAAAAATACAAAAATATATATATAATCAAAATATCTAAAAGCATATCACAAATACCTGCGGCAAATGGATGATGTCCTGGATCTTTTTTATCCGCTACAAATAAATCTTTACAAACTTCATAAGTACTAAAATATAAAGCATGTGAAGGTCCTGCTCCTAATACCACTGAATTAACCCCACGCCATAGAGTATGTACCCCTTCTGTTGTAGAAATTCGTGAAAATGCATTCAGTACTCCTGTGTAAACAGCTTGTGGTGTTGGATTTATTATTTGCATACGAGTCTATATATGTATGTATATATATGATACGGTAAGATATAGATATAGTTTTGAAGGTAATTATAATGTGTGTATAGCCACTTTACCTTTACGCTATCTACAGGGTACATAATTGCGTGTTCACCTATACCTGCTAAGGCTCCTGCGATTAAGTTTGCTGTTAATGGTGAATTTTCTGGTAAAGATTCATAATCATGATCAACAATTTCAGGCATTTTCTTTTATTATATTTTATATAATTTTATATTTTTAATAATAATACAAAAAGGTTAGTAAAGAAAAAAAAATATTTTTTGGTTTTTTTTGGTATAAATAAACTACGATCTGATAAGAGTGTCCTTTTTTTACACAACATATTATAACATAATACAATATAAAATACCAATTATATAATAATATTATTTATCAGATTTTTTTTAAAAAGGAAAATCAGATTTTTTTATATGTACATTATTATTATGTCTGACAAAATGAAACTATGTCACGAGTTTTTTAGTGTAAGAAAACATTTTATTCTAAAGTTCCATAATAACATTTTCACTTTGGGATATTTTCATTTGAATATTTTGGTTGCTTTTTCAGGCTAGCAACTTCATCTAAATAAATATTTTCTTTATCATCAAACCTTTTTTTTTTATCCTTTAATTGCCGAAATTATAATTGGCTTATGTCTTATTATCATAATCTATCTTCAATGATATGGTCAATAGTTTGGATCTTGGTCTGTATGGTAGTTCGTCAAACAAAACTTTGTATTTATATTTAAATTTTTTGTTCATCAGATACCACATATCATCCGAGAACATCATGGTTCGCCAATTGATTTTGATATTATTGGAGGATAACGATAGATAACTTTTCGAGAGACATGTCAATGCACCATGTCAATACATTTATCTGGTGATATTAGACGTTAAAAAACCTTAGTTGACTAAGTCATCCAAAAACTAATTTTTTATCTTGTATATATATTTATATGAATTATCAAAAATCAATTATTTTTATTGTTTGTAAATACCGTTTCCAGCTGATGAAAACAGCCTCTCGGATGGTATTAAGCTTGCCGGCCTACATCACTACGTTTATCATTTGATATGCCAATGCACTATTTCAGCACATCTGTCAAGACATTATGTCGACGCAGCTTTCAGTGTACTATTTCGATGCACATGGGAGCTTTCAATATAAAGGGGCCATAACGTGAAAAAACATCTACATTTCAAGGAATTTGCGAAAAATTTAAAGGAAAATAGCGTAAAGTGTTTTTATGATTTTCAGCTCTAGAGTTCGAATGATGATACCATTTGATATTATTGCTTCATTACATCGGAAACTTTAAGATAACACCACATCAAACATTTCGGGGTAACACCCAAGGGGTCTTTTTTAAGAATGTGCTAAAATTGAATCCTATATATAGTGATTTAAATTTTGAAAAAATATCCGTTTCTTGTTATTATTATTATTATTATTTATTGTTAGTGCCGCCTATATTTGATTAGCTAGTATTACACATTGCTGACAAACTCTAATAATCGATGGATCACGAATTGAATTATAATAATAGTTGGGTCAAAATTGTCTATCACGTTTCTACTAATATCCATACCCAACAAAATTGGGATTATTACGAGTGATTCAAGAAAGTTACTCGCATTTTAGCAGTTCTATTTTTTTTATTAGGGCTGAAGTTAGTTATTTGAGGTCCCGAACTCAGAAATTTATTTCAGTGATCTTAGATCATGTGGTGCTAGAAATAAGTTGATAATTTTTTTTGATATTTTATTTTATACTTTCGTTATAATATAGATTCCGCGGTGTACAAATGCACATTATTATTATAATAAAAAATTTTTCATTATAAAAACAAATAATTCCTTTTACACATGCTTGTAACAACGTGGGTTACATTTATTTCCAAATTAACAAATGCAAACTTTATTAATAATCTACTTGATTATATTACAGGTAAATTATAAGAAGATTTATAAATCAGTAGAAAAGGCTATGGTTGCATACCTTTTGAGATCGGATAAACATGCAAAGTATCCTTGTCTATTCTCAGGATCTGAAACTTGTAATCCATACATATCCTTTGGGATATTTATAGACATTGATACCTTTCTGTAGATCATCAAAGTTGACCAATATTTCTTTAATATCCACAATTTTTGGTGGATAAGTTATAGAAAGATTCGATTGAGGTGCCGCAATTATAGACGCTACTAATCGAATTTTCCCTTCCTTTTTTTTTTAGGCTTTTTATGTTTATCTTTGGATAATACCCATGCTATTATTTCAGTACCTCTTTCACATTCTCTATCACCAGGCGATTCAAACATATTTTCGTTAAGGGCAGAGTATAGTTGCGTGATTCTACATAAAGATTTTCCTGCTTTTCCTTATTTATCCTCAACAATTGATTGATTTTTATAAAATATTCAGCAGACTCACTCATTTGAAGGATAGGTAGAACAAATAATATACGTGGGAGATATATTATTATCTTGTAATTGGCTTTTTTTCAACTCATCATCTATATATTTGATAGTAACATTTGGATATTTTTTTTTTTAAACTAGGTTATTTTTATGTTTCCAAATTTACAAACCTAAGAACTCATTGGTAGAGAATTAAAAACAATATATATATTAATATATATATTCTTTTTTTTGAGATTTAATAATATATTTTATTATTTACATTATTTGTGTTATGTATAACAATTATTATTGCATTCGTTACAGCTATTTACTATTTTGTTATAAGTTTTATGTATTTTATAAGTAATGAGAAAACCATTTTTGACTTTACAAAAAGGATTTTCAATAATAAACGTCTCACAAAAATTGGTTTTGAGGACGGCTCGCGTAATTTTTTTATCCATGCGTCATAGTAAAAATCCGTGTTACATGCACCAATTCTAAAATAGATCAAAACCTGCAAATTTAGGTTTATAATTAATATATTTGAAAGACAAACTCTCCAGTGTTGAAAATCCCAGTGCCCCGCGATGTAACATTGCACACCAATAAAAATTTTAATTTTTGGAGATAGTTTCTAAATTTGTACTAGTTACATAACGAAATTTCAAACACTGCGATTCTCCAATTGTCCTAAACGTGTAATCTTGAAGTTCTGGAATAACATCATGTTCATTATTTTTTTTAAAAAATGTTTAGCTTTATGATTTTATATAAGTCATGATGATTTATAAAATATTGTAAACACGAATTTTATTACCTGCTTCTAATACATCGCGTATTGATTCCTTTGTCATGAAATTTAATCCTCGATGCTTTCTCTTCGAAAGACGAAAATCTTGAAGATGATTCAGCAAACGAAGGTACCTGTCTGTCTTCTATCCTTGATAATTCGAGTTGCAGAAAGTAGCGAGTCTGCGAAAAGTTTTTACATGACACTATTAAACTTGTGGTAGTCCTCGCAATGTTTGTTAGTCTTACAGCTCTTGCAAACAAGTGGAAACTCATTATTATCTAGAAGCTTGTGTTCGTGTTAATAACATTTCATTTAATACTCCACATCCTTTTATACTTCTAATCATCACACGTGGAATTTTTCATAATTCACCAACATTTTTATGATCTGTTTCCATTCAACTAATAATGCGATATTATATTTCAAATTTGCATTACCATATTCACGTCAAAGCTCTCTATAACGAACCCCCTGGACCGAGAATTTGGTTCGTTATAGAGAGCGTTCACTATAAAGAATTGTGATCATCTCATTTCATGGGCACGTGATCGTGTTTTGAATAATTTATTGGCTAGTAAATTTTTTTTTTATAATAAATGTTTATGTAGCATAGTGGAAATTTGAAATGTTACAATGTAACTTTACAATACATAGCAAAAATTCTGGCAATAAAAAAGTAAGTGATAAACTAGATTTGAATTGGATCTGAACTTGATCTCCAATTTAGAGAAGTAACAACTATATACTGGTGAAGTTTCAAGAGCAATGAGTTCTGTATAACATTTAGTGTAACAAAAAACTTCCACTATGCTTGTTTACGTTACATGGGAGAGAATATCATTTATTATATAAACTTGCATTTGGTTCCCTCAAAGACAGTTCGTTATACAGAATAGAGAATTTAATTATAAAGTTTGTTATAGAGAGCAAATTTAATTAATAAAAAATCGGGACCAAAATCTTAGTTCATTATATAGAGCAGTTCGCTTCTCGGAGGTTTGTTATAGAGAGCTTTGACTGTATTTCCATAATTTGTAAACTTTAATTATTACGAATTTTTTATGCAGATCACAAGATCGTTGAATTTCCGAATATAATTTTCGTCTCATGAAAACTGGTTTTTGGCGTAGCCATTTATGTGGGAATATAAAATTGCTTAGATTATTAATCATAAAGCCACTAAATTCTTTTGTTCTAAATATTCTTTTCATTCCCTGTTAGAGTTGTTGCCTTTCACACAGGTAATAAATTATCTAATTAAATTGATTCTTGTAATAGATTAAAAGATTAAAAACCAAATTACATCGATAATAATTTCTATTATTAGGACGTACCCATTTATTTCAAAATTCCAAATCTGCCAAAGATGGAACCAATAAGTCTATTTAGACATAATATTACCATTATTATTATCGTCAATTAATGTATATGTATATAGGTTATATTAAAGGATCTGCTAATGATGCAGCAACTTTACCAATAAAAGATGGGTCATATCACTGGGATTTCAAGAGACCTTTATCGATATCATTAGTTCAATTAACAATCACCTCAGTTATACATGGAGCACATCCGATTACAGATCTTTGCCTGGTAATAATCCTGCCAATTCATTGTCACATTGGATTTGATGCAACTATTACAGATTATTTGCCAGCTCATAGATCACCAAAACTTAACAAATTGTTTACTTGGGATTAAGAGGCGCTACATTATTGGTGCTTATAGGTTGTTACCGGATTAATACAGTTTGATGTGGGAATGACCGAAATTGTGAAAAGAGTTTAGCGTGCTTAAAGAAGATTCTCGAGAGAGAAAGAGAAAATAATATAATTAAATATATATTTTATATTTTATTATTATTATGTTGTATCACACATTATTATCATATTTATTATTTAGAAGAAAAAAATATTCTTAAGAATTGTATTATTTTTTTTTTCCAAAAACAGTTACTTGTACTATTTTGCACAAAAAAAATCCGTATTTTTCACCATTAATATAACATATTTACAAAATAAAATCGCTCTTTATTGTCACAGAGACATTATCTAAACATGGTACAGTCAAAGCTCTCTATAACCTCCAAAAACCGAGCTGCTCTCTAAAATGAACTAAAGGGGTCTGATTCATTTCGTCGACAATCATTTCGTCGACAATCATTTCGTCGACAATCATTTCGTCGACAATCATTTCGTCGAAAGTTCATTTCGTCGAAAAGTTCATAAATTATTTCGTCGACAGTTCATTTCGTTTACAATCACTTCGTCGACAACCACTTCATCGACAATCAATCATTTCGTCGAAAATTATTTCGTCGACAGTTCATTTCTACAACAATTCATGTTAATTTTCATGTATTACAGTGTCACCAATTATGTTTGGGAAAGCGTGAATTAATTGATGATAACAATTGTTTATTATGTTTATG